AGAGACATTAAGAAAGATGTCAAAAAAAAAAAAGGCAAGGTTTGCAACCGCTGTGATCAAGGCATATAACGAAGATATCTAGCAAAGAATTATGGCGTGGAAGACAATATACAGAGATTAGAGCATGTGCCAAACATGATTTTAAAAGTTATTCTTTTACTCACAAAACTTAATTTTCTAGTAAACAAATCTTAACTTACTTTCTTGAAACTTTTAAGCTTATCCAAACATGCACTAAGATGGGGAGATAAAAATAGCATTTGGAATGGAAGATGAATTTTAAAGAGCGCAGTTGGTACAAATGTTTTGATAAATAGCCTTTAAACATTCTTAATGGCTCCTAATCCTTGCACAATTAATCCAACCTTTTCTTTAAAAGTAAATCTGCTCCGAACATTGGTCTCAGGTATCGCGTAATTCACTTTTACAATTATATTAAAATTTGTCAACCCCGTGAATCATGTAAACAATTTTCTCACTCTCAATCAAGTTAACTACTCTACAAGAAACCAAAAATCATGTTCAAATAAGTGTGTGATGAAATCGTTATAATTAGTATACCTCTGTCCATTTGCATATTTTTTGTTTTACATCTCACAAGTCATAAATCTTCTTCCCCAAAAGTGAACAGAATAGCAAAGCAAGTACAAGTATTAGAAGTACAATTCTAGCTAAACTTGGAACATGGGTTTAGCGGAAGCCGGAATATAGCTTTTGAAATGTTAGTCTCAGATGAAGTTGAGAGAACAATTGCTTACCTTGAGATAAACTGAGGTAAAGATAGAATGTTTGTGTAGAACTATTCCGTTTAATAAAACACTGGACGAGCAAGTCTCTTGGGCTGGGCTGCAATGCAGAAAAGAGTTTCTAAAGAATATACAAAACACCAAGGAAAGGGAAAAGCGCTTAATGGACAATGCAAAACTAATAAAATTACTTTTGCAAGTTGAAATTTATAAACAGTAAATACGTTGCAAGTTTCATGACTTGAAGAAGAGATAAAACTCAGAGACAACAATTGGGAAGAAATTTTTTCGAGGGATAAAGGGTACAAAAAATACTGGTGAATGTAAGAGCTGACAATCATGTGACTCAAGAACTGTTGACATGCCTATGAATTCACTTCAATTTCAACTCCACTTCATCACGATAAGCAGAGCAAAATTTTCCAAATATAATTTGTACTTTTTCTTATTGCATAGGCGTGGCTATTACGAGACAAATAATTTGCTTCTCGAAAATTGTTCAATTGTCCATGTTGGTAAAAAGCAAAAAGTTTCCCAACCACAATTAAGTTATTCTGGTTTTCAAAATGCGCTACATAAAAATACAAACACTTTTATTACATACCACTGCAGCAAACACTTTTATTACATTTAAGCATACTTATTCAATGATGATACCACACACCATAAGACTTAAAATTCTTCTTCAATGCATTTTCTACCTAATGAAATTTCAAACTAACCAATTAATGGGGAGTACAATTAATTTAGTGCATTTTATAGCCGATGAAAATTCATACTAAGTGATTATTGGACAGAACAAGGAATTCATAATATAGGAATACATATTGGAAATCAAAAGCAGAGAATATATATTTATACAGTACTTTTTAATTACCATATGCCATTTTGCAATCTTAACTATAAGCCCTAAATATTATGAGCATATACATATGAAAAAGTGGGGAACTGTGAAACAAAATATCACAGTTAGCTTCATTTATGCAAAGCTTGCAGATATAGATCTCTCCAAATCTCATGCACCAATGGGCAGGATATAAAACCTAAAAGGATAAGCAAGGCATCATAAGAAAGATAGTCACCTGCAGTTCACCGCGTCCTAGCGCCGGCTTCAATAAATTAGCTATGTCTAGACCAGATCCCTTATTTCTTCGTCCAACCGTGCCAGAACCAATAAGTGTGTGGACCTCATCAATAAAGAGAATTATATTGCCTGCAATGCCGCCACTTCAATCTGAGCGATGATTTAAGTACTTTTGACCCCAACATAAGTCCAAACAGGTGCTTACCTGACTTCTTAATCTCCTTAATTAATGTGGTTACACGTCCCTCCAACTCACCCCTTTCCTTAGCTCGAGAGATTAATAGGCCAATATCTAAGGACATTATGCGCTTTTCTGTTCAAAAGAGCACAATGTTCACAATCAAGTTAGCATGCAACTATTTCAAGGGTACAAGTAAACATTATATCCAAATCAGCTTCTGTGTATGTGTGCACGTGCAATTTATATAAAATCTGTCATGCCTCGAGGGACAACCCACCAAGAGAAAATAGGGAACATTATTATCGGCTTATTTATTGCCAGGCCTTCTGCAATTGCCGTTTTCCCTACTCCAGCTTCACCAAGAAGAATTGCATTATTTTTGGTTCTTCGTCAAAGAATTTGAATGATCCTCTGGACTTCAGTTTCTCTACCAATCACACGATCAATCAGTCCATTGATAGCACGGGCAGTAAGATCCACACAGAATAGGTCCAGCGCTTTTTTATCTGTTAAACACGGTTAAACTTCTAATCATTCTAATACGTTTTCATCAAATTTATAATCCACATATGAACTAAAGAAAAAAACAGTTTCCACCTCTTGACTTTTCCGGTGATCTACTATGAGTGGTTTTCTCCGAGAGGGAATTCTCACGCGACCTTTTCAAAGCAGTAGGTGGTCCTCTTCCATCTTTCGCCATCTCCCCTTGGAGTCTGGAGATTGCCACTTCTGCCAAATTATTTACATTTGCCCCTAATCTGAAATCATATTAGTTGAGTCCAATAAATGAAAATTTGCAATTGCTATAAGATTATAACGTCTTAGTTATAGGTGCAATTTATCTAGAATCACCAACGTAAGTGATTATTAAGAAAAAGGCAGATCTGCACTAATGAACCCAAAGGGACCATTTAATTCAGAAAACAAATACATGTACATTTGCTAATATTCAAACTTTGGTACAAAATTTACCTAAATTGATCCCCAGTCCAATTGACAACATGACCATTAATT